GAGTGATAGAACGAAGAGGATATAGCTTCTAAATATGTGTAGAGTTTAAAGTTGTCAAAATGAATGGTAATGAATTTGTCAGAGTTTCTTGATCGACTTTTAAAGGTGGTCACACATATGTGGTTGTTTAGAGAAGAACTGAGTGATCAATGTGTGGCGGAGAAAATCTTAGCTTGTCTTCTTGAGAGGTTTGAATCAATAATCTCCTCTCTAGAAGGGAACAAGAATTTGACGAAAATGATGAATTCTCTACAAGCCATTGAGCACAGACAATCTTTCACAATGGAGGAGAGTATGGAAGGTACCCTAGAAGCACAAACCAGAGGTAAAGTTCAAAAATGGAAAAGTTGTTGGTGATAAAAAGGAGAAGTTTGAGGAACAAAACAACAAGGGTAAAAGTTGGAAAAAGTTTCCTCCTTACTCCTACTCCAAAAAGAAAAACCATACTAAAAAGTTTTGTTGGTTCGAACTAGATGTCAGGGGAGTCTGTAACCAACTTGGGTTTATAAAAACCGACAAAACCAACAAGGACAAACTGCTTAGATTGTCCTACACACCACTAGACAGAGGAGCAACTTTTTGTTGCAAGTCGCTACTCAGGAAGTAAGAGCAGAGGAAATTAGTTGATAGAGAGTGAATGCACAATCCACGTGTCCCATAATACGAGCATTTTTAAAGAGCTAGGGAAGACATACATATCCAAAGTCATTATAGGAAAATGAAAGAAACATAGTGCTGAAAGGTAAAGGAGTTGTGTATGTTAAGACTCTCTCAAGTACTAATTTATTTAAGATGTTTTTGCACCCAAACTAAGTCAGAGTATGTTGAGTGTGGGAAAGATGATAGAGAAAAACTATTCTCTAATTTTTTTAAAAATGAAGTGTAAAATATTTTACCCATCTAAATGAAAGATAAATGTTTTCTGGTTGAAGGGAAGAATAAATAGGAGCAAGCCTTTGCAACCAAGGCGGAAAACTCACATCTGTGGCACAAAAGACTTGCCACTCAAATTATTCCATTGTGAAATATTTGAGCTTAGAATTACAACAGATTGAAGGTCAAGAACTCTAATACAAGTCGTGACATGGAATCTATAAAAGTAAAGCATGCGCAGCTCAAAAAGGAATAGAAAGAAGAATAAGACCCTTAATGATTTGCGGCAAAAGAACATTGCTGAGGCGATGCAAAAGAATGACATGAAAATTAGCTCTTTTCAGTTTGTTATTGTGAAGCAACAAATCTTGTTGAAGATCTAAAGAAGCAAAATGAACAATTCAATGCTAAAATCATTCACCTTGAACAAAAAATCAAAGAATAAGGAAAGGAAAGCTAGATGGTTTGGAGGGGAATCAGTTCAAGGAAACAAGGGATTGAACTTCACTAGCTCGCATGTTTTTAACAAAAATGTCAAGAAGATGATGATGACGACTACAACAATGAAAATGGTGAGGATGACAATGAAGGTGACAAGGATAACAATGAAAATGAAGACGATGATCGTGATGATCACAATGAAGATTATGATTGGGAGGAGCATTGCAGCTCTAAAAATCAATCAGCATATATAATAATGAAGGCACTTCTGAAAGCCAAGTTTGAATTGCTTAAGATATTGGAGTATTGAAAAAACATCTCAAAGAAATATTAGAACTTGAGAATGTTTCTTTGATGGGTCACTCTAGCGGAGCATTTTATTTGTACCGCCATTTATCATAAGAAGAGAAGACCTTGAGAAGACTCCTATGTCATAAGCAAATTAATATAAAAAACGATGATACCACCTTTAACAAAAAACATTACGGTTATAAGTTTGTTAATTTCTACCAATTATTGGACTTTTCGAACAGTTTTTATCACGTCAGGATGCATGTGATCAAATAGAATAAATGCATCGTTGTGATTTTATTCATAACTATTCTATGAATTATGAATTAGTCTAGTTATGGACTTGATGTTGCTGACTGAGGAATATACATTTTTTCCTGGTGCATAAACAGTGCTGCTGTATTCCACAATGCAAGTACAAGGTTTTGTGATGGAGCTCGATTTGGCCTTGGTGCAGAGGTAATGTACTTTCCATCAGCATACTCTAACAACAGCGGCATAGTCATTCATATTCTCTCTTGTATTCCTGGTTTTATTGTTGATCAGGTTGGAATAAGCACAAGCCGAATTCATGCCAGAGGTCCTGTCGGAGTTGAAGGGTTGTTAACAAATAGATGGTACGGAATTCTTCTGTGCCTTATGTTTTTTCTTCTATTCTAAGAAAGTTCACGTCAACTGTACAAACATCTTCAATTATTCATGAATTTGCCAGAAATTATTCTTGAATGTACACATTTCTAAGTTTTTATTTTTACGTTAATTTTCTACTGAATTAAATTAAGCTAGACTAAATCATGCACTATATAATGCAGGATATTGAGAGGAAGCGGGCATGTTGTAAATGGTGATCGAGGGATCACCTATACGCACAAGAATCTACCAGTAAAAGCATAAATGCGCAGCTAGAGATTGGTAAGGATTATCGCCATTCACCTCATTAAACCAGCAGCAATTTTTCTGTTATATTTTTCTCGTACAGAAGTTTTTGCTGCCGTCCGTGCAATGTGTATTTTGACTTCCATTTACCCCTTCCCAGATTTTTTTTTCTTATCTGGAACATGCTTAGGGGAAATAAATTAACTGCACGAATGATTAGGCTATGTACTCGGGATTTTTTTTTACTAAATTACTGCTTGAGATTGTGAAACAGCAATGCAGTGACAAATAGGATTATAAATTTATGGTTTTGAACAGCAATATAACCTTCTGAAGTTGCTTAATTATGTTCTTCTAGATACTCTAACTTACATTATTAATAAACATTGCTGTGACTTAAGGGTTCTGCACTACAAAGTTTAGATTACAATGTGGATGAATTAAAAGACGCAACTCTCAATTTCTGAACGTGCATCAAGAAAATATCGATCCAAACTAATAAACCACCTTAACATGAAGAAGGGCCAGAGAAGCTCAAAATGTTCTTATATGATGATTTGAATAGGTAAGAAGCCTCATGTTACTTAGAACGCTTTAACAGAGATGGATTTTTTTAAGTAAAATAGTTAAGAGTTGAAATGGCGTAGTGATTAGTTGATAATTGGACAAAAATGTGCGTGTGGCACTCAAATCAAGGAAATATAATTCCTAATACTGTAAAGTGCAATAATTTTTTCGATGGCTTCTGCAAACAAAGGGAATCGTATGTTCGATCTCATTGATGAGATGCTTGATGGGGCTCAAGACTCTAGCCTCCTTAGCTGCAATATATTGTTTGACGTTTTTTTTCAAGAGATAAGCAACTTGATGACGCAGTTGCATTATTATTTTTGAAGATTGATTTCCATGGAATTTGTTCTCTTGTGCCCATATAAAACGTATAAGTAGTTGGCTAGTTGCACAAGAGCGTTTTCAGGTTCTTTTGACCAAAGGTATTGTCCAAAATGTTCATAGTCTGACTAAACAATATGCTCCGTGGAATCTATAAAGAGAGCTTGTTTGATACAGCTACAACTTTTCTTCTAGAAATGAACGTAGATTTTCTAATCATTGAAATGATAAAAATATAAAAAGTAACCCTGAATAATGTGTTAGATTGAAGATGGACGTAGTGTTTTTGAGCCAGATATTATTTGATGGAACCGTGTTAGATCGTTTGGCAAGATTTGGAAATTAGATTGCTGCGAAGAAAAGAGTTATTGCAATTAACCTTGTGTGAGTTGACAATGCCACGGTGGATATTGGATTTATACAGGGATAGTTTAAAAACTAGCCAATATAAAACTTCTCCTTGCTTTGAATATTGGAAGTTTTTATTTTTTTTTTTGTATGTGAATCTGTTTTTTTTAAAGGCGTTAAGTGTAGTTTTTCAATCAAAATTGATTTTTTTCCTCAATAATTCTTTTTAATAAAATTGGTATGCAGTGCAGCACGTAAATATGTAATAAGAAAACAAAAATATTCACGAGGTCAAACAATAATTAATACAATAAAGAATAACATCGAAGGTTGAAGCTTATTATTGTAGCATAGAACTGCATAACAGAATGAAAAATACTCTGGCTGTGTTTAATTCCTTTCTTTTTGTTTTCTGAGACAACTATAGACTTCTCAACGATCAAATTCTCATCCTAAATTCTAGGGGCAGCCTAGTGGAGCTGAGTAGTTTTTGTACAACCATAGGTATAATCTTAATGTTTCCATAGTAATCCAACATGAAATTCTCTCCTAACTCTATCAAAATTTTGCAATGTTTCCAAAATAACTGTTTTGGAAACCTAAAAAAGTAGAAATAGTGTTGAGATTTTTTTCTCATATATTTTCATTTACTCAAGAGTCAATTTCTCATCCCAAATCTATTCATTTTTTAAAAATTGCTTTCCAAAAAAGTGTTTTTAAAAAATAAAAAAAAAACAGACAGTTGAAAAATATTTTCTCATCATCTTATGTTTTCAGTCAATTTTCCAATCTCTGCTTTTTACTTTTACTGTGTTTTGCACACTACCATCCCGCCGCTACTTAAGCAACCTTCTTTAGTTATAATCTGAAAACTACATAGTTCTTGAAAAGAAAAATCAAACACACCCATAAAAAGTACTCTATCACAGTTTAACTAAAAAGGTGTTTTCAACGGTAAACATCATTTTACAAGTGGTATACGTACTTGTTGCTAATCCAAATTGTAAATGTTTGTTTTCTGTTCATAGAAAAATTCCTTTCTGTTATAATTTTATCTTTAAAATCCAGATATTTAAGTGAAATTTATTCGGAAGGGTCTAACCGATTTCATTCAAACAGTTTATTATTATTGCTAGGGATACAGACTCAACAGAATGCTTGAACAAAAAATGAAATGCATTAATCTGCTTTTGAAACTGCCAGTTCGAGCAGTTGTTTTCTTTTTGTTTTCTTTCCAATAAAAGTCAAAAGTATATGGAAGGTTTCAATGACTCAAATTTTCTTCTATTAATGTGAAGAATCATATACAACCCCAAGGAAAAGGGGTGCTCGTCTTTGGACAATACAAAAGTTAAAACATTCCCACAATTTCTATCAGCAACTAGAATTCAGTGTAAAATAACGTCTCAGATTCATCAGAAATAATTTGCATTTCATATTTCTCCATCCCATAAGTCTTCGAGACTTTTGTAAGGACTACAAGTTTCATGAACTGCAGTGTCACCACGAAGTAACCTTTGCTGCATCAGATAACAAATAAATGAATAGATTGAAAAAAATGTTGGACACAAATATTGTATTCTGCACAAAATTGAATTGTTAGTATATTTCAAAGGCATTCTAACCTGGTGAATCTGTGATAATTTTAAGAAGAGCTCATGAGGAATACACCAATCAAATAAACTAAGGTTTTCCTTGATCCTACATTCATTTACACTTTTTGGAAGAACACTGTGGCCACTTTGGATTCCCCAACGCAACGACACTTGTGCTGGAGACTTGTTAAGCTTTTCAGCAATTTCAATCAACAGTGGTTCCTTCAAGACTTCCCCTTTTATCCATGACCCAGGAGAGCCCAAAGGAGAATATGCCTGAAGGAAGAAGTTGTTGGTTCTTAATTGTTAACAAAACACATGCAACAGAACCTCAATTACAGGATCAGAAAGACATCACTAAGATCAGTCAGAGTAATACTGTGAGATGAACACCAGTGGACATGCAAAAATTGTGAAGAGCATGTTGCTGCCACATTGGGTGACATTCAACTTGGTTAACTGCTGGTGGAATTTTAGCATATCCAAGCATGTCTTGCAGCTTCTTAGTTGAAAAGTTGCTCACCCCAATTGCACGCGCTTGACCTGATGCAAACAAACCTTCCATAGCATTCCATGTATCCGGAAGACACAATGGAGCCATAATCTCAGGGTCCCAACCTCTTGAACCTGGCTTTGTCCTAAACGGCCAATGCATCTTTCACAAAATAATTTATCATCAAATTTCATTCAACCAACCACCTCCAGTTTAAGTATCATTGCCTAGACTGCTTTAGAATCAAGAACCATACAAGGTATAAATCAATGTAGTCAAGTTGCAGGTCCTCAAGAGTCCTTGTCAGTGCCTTTGAGACATCTTCAGGAGCACAGTCACTGGTCCTGCATGGTTAAAAAATTCAAGACAACCAGTGAAAATTCTTTACTCCTAACAGAAATATACGACACCAAATGAAGTTTTAGGTTTATATTCCTTTCTAGCCTTCTAAAGTTGTCTATAATCAAACAATAAATGAAATATGTATTAACTATTAAGTTGTTCCAATCCTAAGTTCATTAAGATAATATCATTATAGTCAATTACATCTGAGATATTGTTTGTTTGAAGCTTGAAATCACTTCACGATTTTGTCCTTAAAAACCACCTTAAAAATATAAAAAGGTTAAGGTTTATTTATTTCTAAACAACGTGAGACTGTTGGATACCCAACATAAGTCCTCTCAAGTATGCCAAAAGCTCAATGTAATTAGACTTTGCTAACAACATAATGATATTTCTTAACATATTCCAATCATAGATTGCCATAAGATTAGTGAGGTATTACTCTGAAATTAAAATGATGTCTACTTATTTGACTAAAAATATTTATACTGATAATGCATGAAAACTAAAGTTGCCAAAGGCATGATCAGAAAAATAAGTGAGGTCAATTTATCTGAGGTAAAGAATTTGTCGAGATTTTTACCATAACTTTGATGTGATGAACATCTCACTACGCTTTACAACCCCAGTAGAAAATAGTGTTTTCAGAGCCTCTCCTACCTGCATCAAATGCAAACTTCCTGGCATCAAGAAAAAACCATAACAAACAAAAACCAATTATCCTCACCCCCAACCTCCTCAAAAAATAATATTAAAAGACAAAAAACTGACAGGGATTCTCAGCTTGTTGAATTCTGTATTAATAAACAAATTTACCTCTTTCTCGTTATCATACACCTTAGCACAATCTATATGTCTGTAACCGGCCTGCTACCAGCAATTTACAACATTTTAACGAAAGCTGAAATTAGCAGATGTAGCTGCTTCTCTTGTTACCAAGTCTATCTCAGTTAAACTCAAGAAAATACGACATTGAATAGAAAGAAACCACCTTGACGGCAGCAATAACAGCTTCACCCACAACACCTGGAGCAGCTTTCCATGTTCCAAGACCAACTGCAGGAATCTTTGCTCCAGTGCTCAGATCAAAATATTGAGGCCCTTCTACAGTTTCTTTGGCCATGAATCTCCTGCGGAAGAATCAAAAGGATTAAGGATTAAACTTTGATTTAAAATAATTAATAGAGTAACAAACATAAACAGATTTGAAACACAAAGGCAGAGAAATATATACCCTTTGGAGTCAAATTGCGTAAAAAATTTATCTTTAGTTTTTGGTGTCTTAATTATATACCCCTATTGTTATAAGATGAGTAACTTCATATTGAAAAGGCAAATGTTTGCGTACGGTATTTGTCATGAGCCAAAAGTTTAGGCAGAAAAATTGATCAGTGGAGGATGATGTTAACAAGAAATTCGGAGCAACCAATGAAAACAATGGAAAAAGGGAATTTGGCCTTACCCAAGTCACTGATTAGCAACGGGGATTTAGGTGATTATGCATGATAAAGCAAGATAACTCCAATCCAACAAAAATAAGAGCAATACCTTCCTTATGCAACTCCTTCCCAGTTTCTCCTAGGTTATCGGTTGCATTTTATATTTAGTTTCAAAGTTACGTTACTCTTTTAATCCTTTTTATTTATGATTTGTAATTCGTGTCCCTTTTGTTTTATTTTCTCGATTTTATTCTTTGCATTTTATAAAATTTATAATTTTGGATTAGTTTTCAACTTTACGTGTATTTTGTTCTTTATTTAATTGAACATTAGATGTAGCATATTTATTGAAAATATCATAACAAATAATTGAGTTAATTGAAAATTTGATATTAATTCAAAAATTGTTTTCTTAATTTAAAACAAAAAAATTAGAAAACCAAAATTACGGATAAAAGTTGGAAAGGAAGTCAAGTTACCATTTAGCTTATACAAAATAACGAAATGTTCTGACAAGGACAATTTGTTTTTTAAGATAAAAATAATAATATATAAGAGTGAATGGAAATCTTTTAAAAAGTTCATTTTAACTAATATTTTAATCGAGCACTTTAAAGACTAAATACTTACTTTTTCTATAATAAAAATACATAAAAAATAATTTTAAACGTGAAATCAAATTTTAGATTTATAATAATCAATTTAAATTGTGATAAAATTATTTTAATTATGAACGCTTTTTAATAAATATATATTAAAAGTCAGTTGACAAGTTAAGCTAAAATATGGTGAATTATAAAAGATACACAGGAAAGAGATCAATCAAGTATATGTAGAAAGAGTTATAATGTGTGAAATTTGAGAAAAACGGAAAATATATATTTGAGATAGTGGACTAATAGTGTAATAATGTGTGTCTTCTAACTAACTAGTGTATCAATAATTCTCTTTTTATCATCCGGTATATTAATAATTAATAATGTTATGTATTTAACATTTGCGTAAATAAACTTAAATAAATTATTTAAGTGGTGACTTCTTTTTTAATATTTTAAGCAAATAAATGTACACAATTAGTGGATTAAAATATAAATAAATTGAACAAGTTAAATTCTATTTAATTTCATTGTTTAATTCTTTTTGTTGAATTTAAAACAGATTATCATCTTCCTTAAAAATAATTTAGAAAATGCAGTTTTCTTTTTCTATATATAAAATCAAGCATTAAATACTCTTAAACCTTTTAGTCAACATTTTTACTTCCATTTAAATTCAACAAAAATCAGAGAAAATTATTTATATAAACTCGTATTCTAAATAAATTGTAACTTACAGGACTGATTCGACATATGTAATACCAATGTGTTAACAAACTACTTTGACCAATTTAAAAAGCAAAGTTAAAAATAATTTTAACTGAAAATTAAAATACATATTTTAACTAAATTATAGACATTTATTTTAATTTTATATAAAATAATTTGACATATTAATTATAATATATTCACATATTTTAATAAGAACTTAAATATTTTATCATTATAAATTTTAATTCTAAACATTTATTATTTCATAAATACAGCATTCCCTAACCATTCAAACCGAACCGGTCGCAAGAAAAGGGTAAAACAGAGCAATTAAGAGCATGAAGAAAGATGATTATGCAGCAAAACCCTGATGGACTGCATATTCATCTGCCTAATCTATAAATAGCAGTGAATATTTTGAACTTACATCACAACAATGAAAGGTAAAAGAATGCATGGGAGTATCACACAATGAATATTGAATGATGGGCATGGTGAAATTTGTAAAGGACGCCTAAACAATCTTTTAAGCATTCAAGTCTTTTAAATTTATTAGTGTACATCAGCAACTCTCAGCATGATGATACAGGACAGAACATATGATTGTATACCAAAAAACAACGGCCTCTGTCAACATTTTACGATCTTTCAATAAACGAAGTCCTTCAGGTTCTTCAACCACGTTAAATATTCCTTCTTGTCTTTAGCAAACATGTATTCCTGCAAGAAATTGGTTGTGCTGGGCTTGATCCCCCTGATCTCGAGATACTTGTGAAAAGCCTTTTGCAGATTTTCATCCAAATCACTAAAAAGGAATGGAGAAGAAATGGTCAGAAAGTATGTATGGGAGAGATTATATGAAAATAAAATAGATAATAATACTATATTCTTACAGGAACTCAGGCCCCTCGTATGCCAGCTGGTCTTCGGATTCCTCCGACTGCTTTATTGACACGCTATCAATGGAAATCTCATCGGGAAAAGCAGTGACGCCAAATTCCAGAGACACTCCATTTCCTTTGAAAACACTCACAACTAAAGGAATGCTAGATTCACTCTCATTCTTCTCATCATTTTCGTCATCCTCATTTTCTTCAGGTGCAACATTAGGGATGTCAACTTGAACTCTGATAGTTTCATCCCCAAATTGTCCTTTAAGTTGTATGGTTCTTTCCCCGGGATTGTCCTCAATCTCAAAAGGAAAATCATCTGGGATATCAATCTGGAAAAGTTTTACAAAAAAGACAATAAAATCAACCCATGAACCGATCAATATTACCTAAAATACCAGAGGAAATTCTATAGGACAAAACACATTAATGGCATTCCCGCAACAAACTATCCCTGACCATAGTTCAGGCAAGGCTCGAGAAGGAAAATGTTTTTCTATGTATATTTTAGTTGTTAAACTACACAGTACGTTTCAGGCAAATCAGGAAATGATTTCTGGTAATTTTAACCTTGAATATTAGATTGACTTTAAAGCCACCATTTCTGTACATTTTCTTACATGAAATATACTTCAACAATTTAACAATAGTATGATATTTCACAAACCTATGCAAACACATTTCCAATGAGAAAAATAGTTACAAACTTCATTTCAGTCACCATTACCAACAAAAACTGCATTCAATATTTCAATATACTAACAAAATACACTTTACAGAACACCTCAAAGTACATTTACCAAACTAATAAGCTAATATTGACTCACACGACTGATACCTCACTAATCATAGCATATATATTTATATGCCCTCAGAATAAAATTTAGTGATAAAACTAAACAACATCGACGGATACATAATCAAAAGTAATCACATATATGAAATAAAAAGAAAAGGAAAAATAGTTAAATGAATACGTTTAGACTTTTCGGCAGTATGAAAAGAAATGGCGGAAAGGAGACAAACCAAGAAAGTATAAAACTCCATATGAAAACCAACTGATCTATAATCTGGTTCTCACAAGATTCCTTCTAAAAATTTGCCTGAGCACTATAAATTTATTAGACAAAAGGTTTTTCAATCCAGGCATGTCATACAGCCGACCATGGTTAGCAACTTAACTAAAATTAGCAGACGTTCATTGACTTAAGCATTAATAAAGAATCAGACAGGGAATCCCAGTTAAACTACAACACTACAATAAAAGGCCTGTATGAGTTGTAGATATGCAGAAAAATAAGATTAGAACTATACAATAGATAACAATAAAATAATTTCAAACCACACGTATAACAAAAAAAAATGCTTCAAATCAAACATTAAAAACAGCAGCAATTATTGTGTCCCAAACAATTTTCCTAAAAATGACACCCTGAAAAACTGATTGAGTTAAGCAAAATGAAATCAAGTGCCATATTATAAAACTCAGAAAAGAAACACAGGGTTCACAAACCACCACCACAACGTTCTGTTACCAATTCATAAAAAAACAGCTCAAAATTACATACGCCTCATTTGAGCACTGGCCTATTCCAATCCATTCGCATAAACCATCAATAATTTTCTACCTTCACTCAATATGGGAATCCCTCAAGCCAATAACCAACTCACGATAAACTTTTCCATAAAATGCTACATTTCTAAAAAGGAAAATAAGAAAAAAATTAAAATGTACTTCTCTGATTTCTCAAGTTAGCTTCTTAAAAATTCAAATTTTAACTTACGCAAATATTTATTATTTTTTTTTCTTACATTCTCCTCCTAAAATTTCTTGGGAGAAACAGGTTTATCCAATCATACCCTTAAATCATACCCTTGAAAACAACCTTTACTCCTTTCAATGAACATAGGGATATCTCACCATCACTACCATAAAAAAATAAAACTGATACCACATTCAACGTTGTTTTCCTATACTATAACTGAAGTCACAAGACAAACCGAAAGAAAATTCACCGGCACAACTATATTCTATTCAATATTCTTACAGACCCAGGAAAAAAAATTCATGAGGAAAGCAAAAAAAGGATAAACTTAGAAAAAGGAACAGAGTATTCTTCAAAGAGAGTAATAACAGTGAAAAAGAACAAACTACCTGGTGCTGAGTATGAATGTCTTCGAGGGCGCATTCGATCTCAGATTGAAGCACTTGAGCGAGATTTTTATCTGCGCTAGTCTGCGTTGCGAAGGCGTTTGCGAAGCGTAGAGAGGGTACAACAGTGATCGCTGCCTCTCTATGGAGAGCAGAGAGAACATTCTGGAATGTTCTAGAAGATGACTGTGCCGTGGCGCGGCGGGCAAGCTGAGGCAACAAGGAGGAGGAGGCGCGGCGGAGCATTGCGTACATGGCCATTTCCGTGTGGACAGATAGACTCGAGAGACAAAGGGTTTTAGTGTTAGGGTTTTGTGTATAACAGTGAATTTTGGGTTTACCTTATTTATACAAGTTTGAATAACATATAAATGTATTTTTCACTCTAGATTTTGTATGGTAAAATATATATTTTTTTAAATTCTCAAATTAGTGAATACGTCTTCTAGAATTTTATTTTATTTTATTTTTTTAAATTCTCAAATTATAATTTTATAAATTTCAATCACGGATGTTAAGTTTCCCTAAAATTTAAATATGTTTATAGATTTTCTTTGGCTTAAATACCTACTTAGTCCCCGTGTTAATAGCTGAATTTCCGTTTAATACCCGGTTTTAAAAATGAAGACATTAGGTCCCTATATTATGAAAAGTGTATGACTTTAGTCCTGTCCGTTAAGTTGGTAGTAACGGTGTTAACTCCGCGCTGACGTGGCTACGCTTCTTTTCTCTCTCCTCTGCTCTTCCTGACACCTTCTGATTTGCTCCTAAATTCCTTCCAACTTTTATATTTGTTTTGTCTGTAATTGGCAGCCCCGTTTTTAGGCAACTTCTTCCACAATTTGCTGAGTCTTGGACGTGAGAAAATAAGGTGAGGGCCCCTCCATTTTGCAAACTCTCTTGTCATGTTCTGCACCTTGCAACCGTGGACGACCTTCCATACTCTTCTTCCTTCACACGTTGCACACCATTCCAGCCGTGGGTTCCCTTCTCCATTCCAAGAATCTACTCTTCTCCTTCTCTTTGTTGTGCATACCATTCCAGCCCCTTGCTCACGTGAATTTCCTTCCAGCCGTGGCTTCTTTCTCCATTTCAATCAGTCGTAGCCTTCTCATGCTCCCAAGCTGCTGGACATGGAGATAGCTGGACTACTCTTCTTTGCATAGACCAAGACCGTGGAGCACCTTGGTGCTGGACTCTGCTGCCATGTACTGCTGCAGCTGTCCGAGAGCTTCTCTTCTTCTAAGAAAAATCAATGGACAATGTGCTCTCTTCCGTGTGCTGCTCTTGATAGCTGGCTGCTCCAAAGCTTTGCTTCTCATGGACCCTTTTGGATGAAGATTTGAAGGAGTGCAGATCTTGTGTTGATGTCCGCATGCAGCCCTCCATTGTGTTTCTCTTCAAAATGAAGATCACTTGCAGCCATGGGCCGTGGCATGCTTCTCTGCTGCTGGACCTTCTTTCACCGTGTGCAAGTTGTTGTCTTTAGCTTCCAGCTAACGTGTGCTGCCTTTGATGTGATGTACCTTCTTTGCTTCCACATTTGAGCTCACTCGTGAGCACCTCTTGGAGGTGAGAAAAGAAATAAGGTTGGGGCCCTCCAAGCTACTCTTCCGTGACCACATATGTTTTGAAGCCAAAAACAACAAATTTAGTGTGACCGTGAATGCATAAGAATTGTGGCAGCATCTTTCTTTAAAAACTGTGAGCTTCTTTTTTCCATTGAATGTCCAAAACCAAAAGCTTCGTGGAAGAGCATGGAGAGTGAAAAATCTGCACTACAAGCCAAAGTGAATATACATCTTTTCCATGTGGGCCGTGTGGTTGTATTCATTAATTAAAAATCAAAAGCATAGAATGTTGGAGCTCCTTCATTTGCACGTAGGCTTTCAAAGTGGTGGCCCCCTCCTCCATGTGCTTCATGGCCGTTTGCTTATATAGAAAAGGAATGACAATTTGCTCCTTCCTTAATGACAATTTGCATAGACCAAGACCGTGGAGCACCTTGCTGCTGGACTCTGCTGCCATGTACTGTTGTAGCTGTCCGAAGGCTTCTCTTCTTCTAACAAAAATCAACGGACAATGTGCAAAAAGCATGAAGTGTAGAGAAAGGTTTGGTGAGAGAGAAATCATGAAAATCATTAATATACAAAAAGCAGAAGGTGTCAGGAAGAGCAGAGGAGAGAGAAAAGAAGCGTAGCCACGTCAGCGCGGAGTTAACACCGTTACTACCAACTTAACGGACAGGACTAAAGTCATACACTTTTCATAATATAGGGACCTAATGTCTTCATTTTTAAAACCGGGTATTGAATGGAAATTCAGCTATTAACACGGGGACTAAGTAGGTATTTAAGCCATTTTCTTTTAAATATCAATATATTTTAGGTTTCCTTTAACAAGAACAATGACAAAAGATCTGCTGTGAACTGCTTCTGAAAAATAGTGGTCTCCACTTTTAAATGTTTATGGGATTAGGTTAGTTGAACAATTCATCGTTAAACGTCTTTAAAAATATATTTATTTGTTTTATTTGTGTATATATTTCTGAATAATAATAATTTAATTATATTATTGAATTATATGGATCTGATTAAATCTTTTAAATAATAAGATTTGATTATATCATTTAATAAATAAGAATTTGATTATATCTTAAAATCATAACAATCCAAGTATTTCAAGTGTTCTTATTATAGGCTCTAAATTAGATTTTTAGTATCTATTTTACCTACCACTGCAATAAAACCATTTCATTCTCTTAATAAAACCATTTCATTCTGTTCTGATATTATGGAAAAGAAAAAAATCCTAAACTCTTAATAATGAGATAGAAAAAAAAATAGCGAAATAAAAATAAATATAAGTATAATAATAATAACTATAATAATTATAATAACGGTGAGATAGTCTAAATAAAGTATAAAAGAAAATATAATATTTTAAATCATAAGATTCTCTTATTTTAATATTAAAAATTTTAAAATATAAATAAAATTTCGATTAAAAACATAACATTTCTCTAAAACATGTTATTCCCTTCTTATCCTACCTCTAAGTTTTCTCATTGTTCATATGTTTGAAGTTCATGAAGCGTTTAAGTGATTTTCAACTTTATCTAATATTTTTTTTAAAGAGTAAGTTACTTTATGCTCTTTCTCCAATTTTCATGTTTTGCAATGCATATGAATTTGTCGCATGTGTCTTCTGAGTCTTCCATTAGGTTCTCTACTGATAAGTGGTTTTCATGAAATACTCATATCATGATTATGTAATTTGTATGAGCATATATAGTTCTTTGATATGTGGAGCTATTTTGGATTTTATAGAGTTATTTAAGCTTATATCGGGAAGTTAACTACCTACTTTTAAATTGGTTTAGTTGCTTTGTTGGTCCCCACTTTCAGGATAGTGTGTTTTACTTGGTCTCCACTTTTAAAAAAGTATCAACTTCGTCCACACTTTGTATAATGTGCATCAATCAAGTCCATTCTGTTAATTTTGCAGGAACGGCGTTAATTGTGTGGTGATGTGGCAAAACAATATGGTAACGTGACAAAACACATTTAGAAGGAGTAAAGATGTTTAAGTCTACTGTGCAACAATGTTCTTGACATGCGCTTACAAAGTATGAGCTTATATATGGTTTCCCTAAGTGAAGTATGAACCCTAGTGAAGTTGGGAGGTTTAGGGTTTAGAGGTTACTATTCTATGTTGGGAGTTGCATGGTAGGTCTTGGTTCAAGAAGTGTTCTTCCCTCCTTGCGAGTTGGTTGACGAAGTCTTCTTCATCTTTCGTTGGGAGTTCATTGAAGAAATGTTGGCTGCTCTCTGATTTGGGGTTTCTTCATGAAGTCTTGTTTTGTCCTTACACGTTGACTTAGGAAGTGGTAATGTCATGGAATTAATGTTGTTTGTCTTGCTCGTGGGGGATCTCGTGGTGGTTCATCCAGAGGATTGGTTGGAACACAAGTATGCCATTGTGAGGAGGTTGTTGTCTTGAGAGTGGCCAAAACTATTAAGAACGAGGGGAAATAATTTTAGGGTTGGTTTGATGTGTGGTTTTACTTTTTCATTTGTGGTAAATTTATTTGGTGGTTAATGAAATGTTTATTATAGTTGGACCTTTTGAACAACAAAGTCGAAATGAAGAATTTAAAGGATGCATTTTTTTTAAATGACACAATGAAGATAATGTGGATGAAAGGGATACTAATATTGCTAGGTAAAGGAGAAAGATTACTAGTAAGGAAAAATCAGTTATGATTTCTAAAATATGGGGGAAATTGTTAATGTGGATGTTATGTTTTATAGGATTAATTAACATCATCCTTGTTTGTATTTTGTTTAAAATACCATGAAGTGTTGTACTAGTGACATGTCATCTCCAAGTTAGGTATATATGATGTTATTGTTATGTGATGTTATTAAATGAATTAAAAATTTGAAATTATGCTTTGAATATACAATATACAATATAAGTGATATTGACTATATAAGTGATATTCTGCTTTAAATCAGATTTAATATACAATAAAATTAGAAATTATGCTTCAATAAAAGTGATATTCATTTCAATATACATTAAAATAAAAAATTTTGCTTTAAATGCACATGGTATTCATGTCAATATATATTCAACAGAGAACATTGTTCTTCAACAGAGAACACAAAACAATATAATAAGTTCCTAACCAAAATAAAGACAAAACAATATAATAAAGTTCTAACCAAAATAAAGTGCATAATACATATTGAAGTTCCAATTTATATGGCTTCCAAAATAGGCACCAATATGTATATTAATAATGTTTCATGACTTCTAAATTGTTGTTGGAGTTGGTTGACTTTGTTGGGTTCTTGAAGCTGACATTGAGTAGTCTTACTTGATTGAGATGGAGTTGGGTTTGTTGCAGTGGGCTGGTGTTCTGTTTGAGTTGCTTATGGGCAACTAGTTCTTTTATGTCCAAGTTATCTACTTATCCCACATCTCTTACGGGTTCCACCTTCTCTTAGTTGTGTTTCATCCTTGTTTAGCTCCTAAGATTCTACTCTTCTTTTCTTTTTTGGTCTTTGAGGCAAAACCCTTTTAGGTGGAGGCAAAACATCAGGATTTGAAGTCATTTGGCATAGATGAGGATCGTTCACAACGTATATCATTATAATGTATGTTTCTTCATAGATTGATCTCGTAAACTAATGTGGATGTAGACTTCTCCATTGATGTTAAAAAGTTTCATGGCATTCAATGCGTGACAACATGGGATTCTCGTTATAATCCATTTTCTGCAACTACATTCCAATTTATCTATGTCTGCTACAAACTTGTCACCAATGGTGGATGGTGTATACCTTAAATATTTTGAGTCTTAGTCAACTTCAAAATGAAAAAAAAATCAAGTGAGAATGGGCCAATCCATATTAAATCATCAATAATTGAAGTTGTTGTGAAAGCGTACCTAGGCATCCAATATTTTATGTTGTGTAATTCCTTTTCTAGTCTTTTCTTTTTTTAATTTTCGGGCACAGGGAACCTTCACATGTAGTTATCTTGTCTCTATTTCTTGCCCATCTCTTCATAAGGTAGATACGAATATCTTCCATCATTATTATGGGCTTACCCCTTGCATTTACTATGACACTATTAAAAGTTTCGAACATATTATTGACAAGGGTGTCACAAGCAGCTATTTTTGGAAACCTTGACCTTGACCAAAATCTAGTTCAAAAAAAGTAAAACATTTAAAAGAAGAATAAATAATTGTAAATAATTTACATGGTTTTCAGTTTTGAATACAAGCCTTGGGGGAATATCTATCAAGTGTTTAAAGGCGTTTTCATTCAAATCTTTAATTTCTCTCATCACTTCCTCCCATGCTTGAGGGTGTGTGAATGATGTTGCCTTCCATAAAAGACGTTTCAATTTTTTTCCAGAAATTTCTTCCTAAAATTTGCATACATGTGGCGCACACAGAACCTTTGTTCCACACCAGGTAAAAGTTGTTGTAATGTGTCAAAAGTCCCTATGAAAGTAATCGTTCAAAATATGTCAGTTAATTTAAAACATAGGCAGATTCAAGGCTAAGGTTTGATACTACAAAACAAGAAAGAAATATATTACTTACTTTTTGTTGATCTGAAATAAATGTACATCTTGAACAAATTCCAGCACCACCAAGGTCGTCAATTAACCATTCCAAAAATCAAGTCCATGTTTCTTTATTCTCGACTTCAAAAATAGTGTATGCCAAAGGTAACATTTGGTTATTACCATCTCTTTCAACAACAACTAATAACTCACCTCCATATTTCCTTTTCAAAAAAAACCATTGAAACAAATAATAGGCCTACATGATACAAATTTGTCATTACATGCCTTCAAACACATGTACAATCTCTTGAATATTGGGTTCTCCTCGTTAGGTTCTACATTAACTTTGATAGTTGATCTAGGATTTGACCTCATTAGCTCATTTGCATACTCATATACTCTTTTATATTGTTCTTTGAAACAACCAGCAATGTTCTTGTATGTCATTGTTTTTGCCCTAAACGTTGTAGACTTAGACACACTAATGTTCCATTTCTTACAAACTTTGTTTTGGAGGTCAATGAGATTAATATTTGGATTTTCTTTTATGGTCTTCTTTAACATGCCACTTAACCATTTTGAAGTCACTAAATGGACATTAAATTCTTTACTACATGTGTGCTTGTTTATAATCTTTCTTATTGTCATGTACTTTGGGAAGCTTTATATGCATAATAATTGTACCATGGACATTTTCCTTTTGCCCCACAACACTTCACACAAACTCTTCGTTTGTCATTTCTAAAAATCTTCATTTTTCTTCCATTCTCTACACCATAAGTTGTGATTGCTTCAGTAAAGTATTTCTTTTCAGTGAAGTATGTCCCCACTTTCCATTTATATTCTTCCATAGTTTTTGGTATTGAGAAAATCCCAAAATTTCCATACCGGTCTCTATCATCATCTAATGAATCACTTAATACAATATTGTCTAAACTTTCAGATTCTCATTCACTACCAAATAAACCCATGTGTTGTACATGTTGATATGGACTAGAAGACCCACTTGGTCCACCCACTTCAACTTTGACACTACCTTTACAAAAGTCATCGTCCACTTCATCTCCATGGACACTAACATCCACAAGATCATCTTCACTAAACACATCCTCTTAGGACCCATTTCAAGTACTAACATCAGACTCATCATGTCCTTCATCATGTCCTTCACCCTCACCTTCCACATCAATATCATTATGTCCCTCACCTTCCCCCTCCACACCAACATCATCCTCACCCTTCTCAAAATCAGCAACATCATCTTGTGCCTCCACCTCCATAACATCATCCTCACCCTCACCCTCCCCCTCCTTCTCCACACCAACATCACCCTCACCCTCACCCTCACCCTCACCCTGCCCATCCCCCCAAAACATCAACATCATCCCTACCCTCTACCTCAAACTCCACAACAACCTCATCCTCACCTTCATCGTGGCCCATTCTTTCAATAACAACCTCATATTCGGCATCTACATTTACTTGTACATTATAATTACCACTATCCACACCAACTTCGGGTTCACTGTCCACATGGAATTGTTCACCATCATTACAATCACCTTCACCTAAAAAATATTCCAACATATTAATTACCTGAGGGTCTGCCAACATATGTACAACATACAAGTGAACTTGACCATTCAGTATGCCAATGTTGACCAGATGACATGCACCTTTGTCATCAGATAACAGTTCCAACCTTCCTTCTAACACAGAACCTCCACCCACTAAATACCACAACTCTTTAAGATTCACATAACACATCTCTTTTATAATGAACAAAATATCAAAGTAGCTCTATCTATCTAGGTCAATTACCAAAGTATTGGTTTCTCTAACGTATTTCAGTGACCTATTATTGACAAACTTACCCTCATGGTGAAAGACCACTTCAATATCAGAGTTAATCATCTTAACTAATATATGCCTATATATTTAACCCTATCATATATCAAAATGACCACACAATATAACACATATTACATTCAATACTTTAAAAGCACTAACACAACAATTTCAAATGGGGCACCACAACCAAAACAACAACATACATAATAAAGGACTACAACGAAAATAACATCTAACTTCATGGGGGTCCACCACTATGAGTTGATTCCATAAACAAATAACCAATACACCACATTACATACAAAATTACAAGCAAACACAACATTCAAAAAATTTTAAAATAGAACTTCCACTTTAAAACAGTAAGCCTAAATTATCCAATCAATGCAACACGACAACACTACCAAAAGGAAAATATAGACACACATTCAACAAAAATGCACCATAGACCTTCAATGGAACCCACTTCGTTATTAAAGAAAGGTTGATTTTGTAGTTTCACTTCTTCGATCCTTGAAATCCCTAAATATGTTTCTTTTTTTATCTATTCGAAACCCCCAAATGTGTTTCTCTATTACAAATCCTCAATTGAGATTCCCTTCTTCTCTATTTGTAATCTTGATCACAAATTCTCTTCTTCTTTATTCCAAATCACGAACTCAACTTCTCTTCCTCTCTATTAGAAATCCCCAAATACATTCACTCGTTTTCTTTGCTCAAAATACCTAATTTCATGAACATTCAATTTGTTTTCTAAATATAAACTCTAATTTCAAATTTTTTTTTCTAAATATAAACTCTAATTGACATACACGTCATAAAACATATGCCACAATAGAAAAATATGCACAACACAGCTTCACCAATAAGTCAACATTATTTATTTAAACATCATGAATACAAATGAACTTGATTGATGTACCATTACATAGTATGAACGAAGTTAATTCTTTTTTAAAAGGGGAGACCAGGTAGATACATAACCTTGAAAGTGGGGACCAACAGAGCAATTAAACCTTTTAAATATGTTGATGTATTGTTTACATTGTATGGTTGTTTTGGTCTAAATTGGCCATTTTTGTTTATTGGGTTGTAGTTGTGTTGGCTAAATGAAATGTGTTTTTTGGATTGAGTTTAATGTTGATTTGAAGAATCGATCATTTAGTCATTAGATTGACTTGATGTTCAAAAACAAACTTATTTTAGAATCCTCTACTGAGTCAAGATTACCAAATTGGTCGTTTGAATAGGTTCCTAGTTCCCTAAAATTCAATGTTGAAGTTTCTAGTTTTTGGTGTGGCATTGAGTGACGTTGTTATGGCGCTGAGTGGAAAAACTATGAGCTTTTGTTTTTTGGGCACTGAGCGCCACTTTTGGGCGTTGAATGTCATTTCTCCTTAATTCGTTGGGTGAGAGGTTTGACTCGTTGGACAAGAGTTTTTATGAGAGCTTTGGCGTTGGGAGCCATGTCTGGCACTAAACGCTCCTTGTTTTGAAGTGAGTGCATGTTTTCTATGTTTTCTTATTTCTTGTTTATTTTATAATGGTTTATATGGATTCAATACCTACTTATGTAGAATTGTTGGTGCTTTATAGATTGTAAACATGGTTATATGTATGGTTAAAGAATGTTGTGAAAGGAATTCCAAAGAGAAGTTCTTGTATTTGTACCAAATAGTGTGTGTATTGATGTAGGGATTCCGTATTGGGGGTTATCTTCACATTTAAATAACCATCTAATCTCAGCTAGAGAACAGTGGGTTATGTCATGAGGAGTAGTAAGAGGTCCTAGTTTATGAGTTTTTCTTTGGTTATAGGTGGTTGAGGATTAACCTTGTGAGGTAGCTTAGGTGGCAAGTTGTTTCACCACGACAAGTGCGAAACTCGCTAGACTCCGATATCAATACATGTATCCAGATGATCAAGTCTAGAGTGTATACTTGTATGCTTAATATTGTTTGATATATATATATATATATATATATATATATATATATATATATATATATGTTTATGTATTGAGAATTATGTTTCAGTTATATGTATTAATAATTATGTTGTGATTTCTTATTAAATGTTACTTGTTTTGGTTGTTTGAATTAATTAAATTGATGTTATAATTAGTTGAAATTGTTGTTGAATTGTGGTTTGGTAATAGGTTAGAGTGACGGCTAGAAATTAGTCTAAAGTTGGTGGTTGAAAGGTGAATTTTATAGGAATTATTTATTGAATGAACTTGATGTTAGGAGTGTGAGATTATGCAATTTAGCCCTTAGTTAACTACTTGTATAGGCTTTAATTTGGTATTTGGTATGTTGAATATGCTATTTGGTTTACGGTTGATTGTGGTTTGATCTGATGGACTGAGTAGTTGGCCAATTGAGCAAATTAGTATTCAACTTGATGTTTAAACATGTTTTTTAATCAATTGCAGTGATAATACCAATTTGGTCATTTGGATAGGGCTTGAGTGCAATCAGATTAAGAATCAAAGCTTTTGGTTCTTGGTGTGTTGTTCTACGACCTTGTGTGGTGCTCTACGGCCTTGTGTGACACTGAGTGCTGCAAAGCCAGAGAGCCTCTAGGCTCCAAGGTTCTATGTAATTGTTTTAGGCATTGAACGTTGCAAAGTCAGAGAGCTCTTGTGTCATGTGGCGTTGAGCAACACTTTTGGGCGTTGAGACCCATTTCTTCTATACATGTATGATGCCTTTCCTTCATGAGAGGCAGTGCTTGCTAGGCGAGCATGTTTACATGGGCACTAACGTTGAGCACAAAACATGTGTGCTAAGTGCTCCTTGTTCCTAAGTCATTGCATATTTATGCGTTTTTCTTATTTTTGCTCTATTTGAATTAAGTAACTTTGGATTTTATGCATGTTTATTATCATATTAGCACGAGTGTAGTGACAGGATATGACAATGATTATTTTCGAGTTATGACAACAGTTTCAGAATTGAGGCATATTAAGGCGAGGTAAAAAGGGGGGACTTTTGGCCTCTATGCAAAACCGAAGCCAAAAGTTGAAGATTTTGCTTTGGTTATAAGAAAACCAAGCCAATAAACAGAAAAATAAAATAAAAGAAAATAATTTTGGGTTTATGGCAACTGTTTCAATAGCAACTGTTACCATATACCCTTTCTTGCTTCGCTTCCTAGATTAAGCGCTGTTATAGGTCTAATTTTATTTAATATATTTTAATGTAAAGATCTGTCGCCTCGTTTTCAGCTATAACCAATGCCATGTACTCTCTTTTGCCTTAGTTTTTACCACAATCGTTGTCTAAAGCCTGCGTTTTTTTTAAAATGTGGTTTTATTTCTATGACATCCTACATCACAAAAATCACAGAAACAAACCTGCATAATATATAAAATGGTTACATCACAAATACAGACCAGAATATATTTTTCAATAAAATAGAGAATTATTACCATTTATATTTCTCATAAACTCAATGTTTTCATATTCTAATGTACATAATATTATAACCTAACACCTACATACTATTTTACAAATATATTGCAAGGGCTTTCGTTATGAAATTGATGGACATGTCTAGAAGTGGAACATGAGTCTTGAATCTCTACATAGAACCCAATGAATTCAATTAGTATATATGATTTCCAAACGATGGACAATTTTTTTTATTATATGAAAATATTACCTGTTAAAAAAGGAGTGTTCAGTTTCTCACACCAAGAGGGGGGTGAATTAGTGATGCGTAAAAACGTTCGTTTTAAAAATAATTTTTGCAAAGAAGGATGTCTTTGAACTTTTCTTGAAACACAAGAAAGTTTGTATATAATGCAATAGTAAGCTTAATCGAATGCAATGATAAATTAATCGATTATATGCAGAGATAGGGATCAGAGAAATCAAACACTGGTTTTTATACTTGTTCGGCCAAGCCTACATCTAGTGTCCTTCCAATCAACCTGAGTTGGAAGCCAATGAACTATAAAGATCTAGGTTTTTACAACAAGATTTTAATAGCGACCTCACGTCAAAATGTAAAATACCTCTCTAACTCACTAATATAAATATAGGTAGTAAACAATACAAACACGCAGCAAGAACACTCTCTTTTGCTGTCAAACCCTTTGAGTCACCCTCAAAGTCAAGAACACAGTTCTTCTTCCTGTAATCACAACAGGAAACACCAGCCAATCTTCACGATTGCAGATTTCCTGATCTTGTAGTGTACACCTATTTATGCAGATAGATCAGACGTTCAAACCCAGTAAACCTTGCTTCGCAAGGAACCTTCAAGTTTTTGATCACCACGGTCAATCTTTGGTTCTTGGAGCTTTTCTTTCCTCTGTAAGATCACACAACATTTTCTAAAAGATATGAAAGTATTAATTCTCAAAAGTTCTTACAGAATTCAAATCAGCGTCAATTTATAGTATTACACACATTAGACGCATTTTAATCGATTTAGCTATTAACGTAGTCGAATACATTTGACAATTGTAACAGAATAATAGCAGTCAAATGCATTAATTGAATACACATTTAATATAATCAATTTGTCATAAATGTTTGGTCAACATGTTCAAAAATATGACCGTTGTTACAGTTATGTCAAGCATTTAAACAGTTTTCAAATCAACATCAAACTTAGTTGAATACACGTTGCATGCAATCGATTAAGTGAAAACACTTAGCACACTTTTGAAAACTTTTCTTCTCAAAATATCTCACAGCACACTTGAAAAGCATTTGTGCAAACCCACGAGTTTTAATCGATTTCACCCATAATGTAATCGACTTAAAAACTGTTGTTTTGCCACACTTTAAAGTTCAACAAAAGTGCTTGTGGTTTTTCATTTCTGAAAACATATGGTATGCATACACAGATAAAATCACATATCAATCACAGTAGTATGCTTTAATCAACACAATAATGTTCAC